TCAGGAGTCCCCGAACGCGTGGGCGAAAACCTTCCTGATATTGTGTCCAGTATTGCTTCTGTTATTGAATCTCCCATTGCACTTTCCGACATTGATGCCGTACATCGATTGCCTCAAAGAACATCTCTCAGAGCAGATAAACCGCATGCTAAGGCAATAATCGTTAAATTTGTATCCAGAATGACACGGGACCGCATTTTTAGTGCGGCTAGATTGCGTCGTCGTGGAGTCAATGGTCGTGGTTTATCGGTTCCGGATGTCTCGGACAACTTATGTATAAACGAACACCTAACGGCTAATAACATGAACCTCTTCAACAGGGTGCGGGAAATGGCACGAGAGAAAAATTATAAGTACGTTTGGACGAAGAACTGTTTGATTCACGTAAGAAAAGATGACAGAGTTAAGGCTTTGGTAGTCAAATCCCTGTCAGACTTGAATAAATTGTAAAACCGGGCTCTTTATCGCATTGGTTTTCTTTGGGAGTATCACTTCACTATTCATGGGCCTTAGCTTCTACTACCAAAATGCGTTCCAAAACGAATACTACCTCAGTTAATTCTTATGCGCTATCGACGGATTTTATTTGTCTTACCGAGACCTTTCTTAACTCTACGATGTCCGACGGGGAACTTCTCAGCCCTTTATATATTGTACATATATCGTCGTGACAGAGAATCAACAGCGTCTACCAACCGAGATGGTGGAGGAGTCCTTGTCGCCGCCAAGAGAGGTCTTCACGTCGTTCCTATGCCGTGTCTCCACTGCGGTGCCGAAGACTTGTGGTTGAATGTGTGTTGCGGTCAGTATCATTTTCTTTTGTGCTGTGTTTATCTCCCTCCTAACGCCGAGGAGCCACTTGATCTCTTCTTATCCAATCTATCTACTGTGCGCGATAAATATCCGGATCTCATGATCATTATCGTGGGTGACTTTAATCAACCATCCATCACATGGACTTCATCTGATTCTGATGTTTTATTAGTGCCTACGGGAACCTTCGAGCGTCGCGCCGTTAACTTCCTTAACACTTCCTCTTATTGTAATTTTAGTCAATTCAATAATGTTTTAAACGATAATAATAAAATTTTGGATCTTGTATTATGCACGAACGGTCGTATTGAGAGCGTTCACCCCTGCAATGATCCACTTGTGGATCCGGACAGACACCACCCGCCTTTTGTATTTGTTATATCAATCACGACAACTTACTTGACTGAAGGCCCGAAAATTAGTTTTCTTTACAAGAAAGCTGATTCCTTGGGTATTAAGAACTATTTAAACGGTATTGATTGGGGATCTGTCTTTGCCGGGATGGACGTGGAAGCCATGGTTGAGGTCTTTTACGCGCATGTTAACTTTGCTATTAATAGATATGTTCCGCGACGAATTTTAGCTAAACAACGATTCCCTTGTTGGTATAACCGTTCTACTATTCGTATTATTAAGGAAAAGCTAAAATTTCACAAAAAGTGGAAGTCTGGTGGACGGACCTGTGATTATCTATCTTTTTCAATTTTGCGTCGTAGATCTAAAAAATTGATAGCTGCTGATTACAGAGCTTATCTGAGTTCCATTCAGGCAGATGTGTTGGGGAAACCAAAGAAGATATGGTCGTTTGTTAATGGCAAAAGAGGTTCCTCATCTGGCATGCCAGCCTCAATGACTTCCTTTGATGGAACCATAGTTGACTCATGTTCTGCGATCTCTTGTGCTTTCTCGGATTACTTCTCGTCTGTTTTTGTAGATGGCACAATCGACAGCTCAGTGATTGCCCATGGCTCTGGGGTTCTGCCGTGGTTTTCCGCTAATGCAATTCATAATGTTCTGTTGCATCTTGACCAGTCGTCTAGTCCTGGCCCGAATGGTATTCCAACTTTATTCTTAAAAGAGTATGCTAATGAGCTGTCAACGCCACTGTTTCGTATTTTTTCGAAGTTCTTACTTGAAGGTGTTTTCCCAAGTATGTGGAAAACGGCTTTCGTTATTCCAATATTTAAATCCGGTGTTAAACAGTTGGTATCCATTACCGTCCTATTTCTATCCTTTCAGCTATCCCCAAGGTATTTGAAAAAATTGTCCACGAATATCTTAGTCTGTCTATTTCTCACTCTATAATCAACGAACAACATGGTTTTCTGTCTGGGCGATCGGTGGAGTCTAATCTGTTGTCTTATGTAAACTTTATTCATCCTGCTTTAAAC